AATAGAGACAGGGTTTGAGAGAGAGAGCGAGAGCGAGAAGAGATGGCAACCTGAAAGCTCAATAGGACTCTTCTGTGTTTGAAGCTGCTAGTCGCCTAGTCTTCCCCTAGTTGGCGAATGAAAAAGGGAGAGAAGGCAAGAGAAAAAGAGGAGGGGTATCGATGTTAAGTGGACAAAGTTGGAATTATGAAAATATAACAAGGGCCAAAAAGTAAAAATAGAGCACATCGGCGACCATTTTACTCAATGGTCGTTGAACCTTAGTATCGATGGCGGCCATTTTGCCAATGGTCACGAAACCTTATGATTATTGACGACCATATTTTATAGTGGTCGCTGAAACTTAGGTTATAGACGACCAATTTCAATAATGGTCGTCGAACGTTTGTTATCGGCGACCATACCTCTAATGGTCACTAAATATTATTTTATCAATGACAATTTTCAATAACAGTCGTAATAAATTAACTTTTTGTGGTCGCCGAATATAAGGTTTGTTGTAGTGACAGGAAATTTCTCCCAAGAATAAAACTATCACCACTTTAGGTTCTAGGCACAAGCACACTAAAGCATACTTAGAAATTTTTGGACGAAAGTAGAAGAATATGTTTGATCGTCTGTGGCATCATCCACCCCACACGTATATTTATAGGGGTTGAATCCATGCATTTTTTCATGAAAGGTTGCATTTATCCATAGGATAGGTTGCATTTATCCATATGAAAGGTAGCCTTTGTCCATACGAAAGGTTGTTCTTATCCATATGAAAGGTTGTCTTTATTTATAAGTTTCATCCTTATCCATAAAAAAAATGCAACCGCCACTAGGCCAAAGGGATCCTTTATGGAATTAGAATATTGTTTCGCTTGGTCTGATCTCAAACCGGTTGGTCGGTCCAATCCAAAACCAGTTTGATCTGGTTAGTCCGACTCAACCAAGTTTCCAACATCTTTCCACACATCTCGAGGGGCAAAAACCCATTAACCAACTTGCTTCCCTTGTTTTACCGCGAAAAAGAAGTTGAAACCACGGTTCCTTCTCGCCTTCGTGAACTCTACTTGAACTGGGGGTGTTAAGGAATTTCAATCAGTTCCACCAACCAACGGGCTAAGATCAAGTGACTAAGGAGGGGTCCCTTAGGTACTTGACTAAGTCAATCTCAGCCATTCAATCTCATTAAAATCCAATGGTGCTAATTAATCTCATTTAATGAAGGACAATATAGTAGTTGCAAGAAATTTTTAGTTTTCAATTAGAGAGAGAAGGCCAAGTTGTCATATACGTATTGAATTGACAGACAAATCTTTCTATGAAAAATATAATAGGGGCGAGTTAGAAAACTATTATAATCTTATTGTAATGAAGAAAAAACAGAAAAAAAAAATTATGCTTAATAAAGCGGGTGGGTAAAAAAAATATTTCATGATTCGTATTATTTCGTTATATTGACAAATATGCCCCTATCGTCTAGTGGTTCAGGACATCTCTCTTTCAAGGAGGCAGCGGGGATTCGACTTCCCCTAGAGAGAGAGATTTCTTTTCAACTTTGCCGGCGACGGCGGAGTTTTTGGCGATCTGAGACGGTGGTGGATGATTTTCCGGAAACAGTGCTGGATTCGTGGTGTTTGTCAACCTATATTGTAATGTTTATAAGTTCAGTTTGTATTATTTATATCAATTCGCTTTGTATTGTTTATTATTCTTGTCTGTCATTTTTATCTATTATGTTTCTAATCTTTATATGACTATTTTGTATATATTGTAATTTGTAATGTTTGTCGGTTCCTTTTGTAATGTTTGTAATCTTTATTATTTTGTAATGTTTGTCGGTTACTTTTGTAATGTTTTCAACCTTTGTTATTTTTGTGCACCATGTTTGTAATTTTTTTTATGTCTAAAAAACAACCTGGTTGACTTTTGGATGAAACTCCTCTATATAGGGATGAAACCTCCAAAGTCAACCCGGCTATTTTTCTTTTGTATGTTTTGTCAATCTAGTTTGTCATTTTTATCCACCATGTTCGTAATGTTCGTATGTATAAAAACAACCTGGTTGACTTTGGAAGGGAGCCCCTCTGTATTGGGATGGAGCCTCCAAAATCAACCTGGTTGTTTTTTCTCTTTGTATTGTTTGTATTGTTTGTCAGTATAGTTTGTATTGTTTGTACAGTTCATATGTTGTAATGTTTGTAAATCTGTTTGTATGTTTTGTCGTTATAATTTGTACTGTTTGTATTGTTTGTACTGTTTGTAAGTACGGTTTGTATACTTCGTAATTTTTCATAATACCCAAATTACCCCTCCCACTAATTAAAAATCTCTTCCCACTTTTTAACTGTTGGATTGAAGTGTCCATATTTAATAGCTAGGAGGGGCGTAATCAAGTGACTAAGGACCCCTCCTTAATAATGGGATCCGCTCTCCCAACCAACAATGTCCGCTGCTTCCATCTCAAAGTTGCGCTCCATCCTTCTCCGCTAGACGAAATCCACCGCCGCCATCAACTCCCTCGTCATCCCAACTCGTTACTTCTCCTCCTCTTTTGTCCCTAGTGCCCCTCTTTTCCCCTCTCACCGCCGCTCACTTCAAAAATTCCTCCTCTCCCGCCTCCTCTCTTTGTTACGCCATGGAGACGGACTCATCCTCGCCCCGACGGCCTGAGCCCTAATTGGTGGAACAGGCTCACGGTTGGCTTCGATTTCGAATTTCGATCATTGGCTCGTGGTAATGAAGGAGCCGGAGGGAAACCCTCATATTAATTCTAAGGTTGTTATACCAAACGTGAAACAGATGAGAATAAATATTTGGACCTTTGGATTAGTGCGTTTGTGTGCTTTTGTTCAATTGTTAAGGTTTGTGTTAGTTTGTTTACGTAGTAAGTCCAATTAGACGCCTAGTTTTCTGGGTAGTCACATCGGCTAGGGGAAGGGTGGGTTCGGCCATATATAGTTAGGTTAACTTGTAGGGGTTATGTATTATGCGTATATATATATATATTTAAGGGTTTGCTTGTAGCTAACAAGCGAGAGAATGACATTGGTATCGAAATACCTTTATTTTAGTAATTTGATAATACGAACTAATGCCAAACTTATATATATATATATATATATATGGAACCGACTCGTGTGCTCCAGGCGCATAGCATGCTCCAGGTCCTGAGATCGTTGATCTAATCTAACGGCTAGTATTAATTATATTAAAATTATATATTTAATAATAATTATAATTACAAAATACACCCTTGAAATAATTATACGTGCTATGAAGTCCCCAAACAATAATTACCATCATGTTTGCTCGTATGATACCTTATTTTGTAGAGTTCCTTATTCAACCCCAAAATTTATAAAATTGATAAAAACAAATTCTCCATTAAAATTTGGCTGGAATGGTTTATGAATCAAAACTTCATTGTCATCATCCACTCAAAGGTTATCGTAGCAGACCATCCCTAATTCCCTCTTCTTCTTCTTCTTCGTCCCGACTGTCCCTCCTCTCCTCGCTCTATCAATCCCATCTCGACCCTTCAAACTCCTTCTCTCCCACTCCCTATCTTTTATCCCCTTCGTAGCCCAGACTTTCGATTGGGCGCAGCAGGACGAGCAGAACACTACATCCACCATTGCTGACTCGGAACAGGAAGAAGAAGGTGAGGATTCGGCAGCCGAGGAGGGCCCGGTGGCTTCCTACGCCGCCGCCGAAGATGGGGATGATGCAATTGAGGCGCAGGAGCCGTCGGAGGACGCCAAAGTGTTCGTCGGTAACTTGCCGTACGATGTGGATGGTGAGAAATTGGCTATGCTCTTCGAGCAAGCTGGAACTGTAGAGATTGCTGAGGTTTGTTTCGATGGACAATCTTCGAGCAAGCTGGAACTACCAGCGAGCGCTCGACGACGAGCTCGATAATCTCCTCGCCCAGCGGAGCTATCTCGACAAGCAGCTCGTCCACCTCCAGAAATCGGCCGAGGTTCTCGAGATTGTCAAGGCCGATTCTGACTACATGCTCAGCAATGTTGGCTCCACCTGCGACCTCGCTGACCACGTCAGCGCCCAGGTTCGGGAGCTGGACCTGGCTCAGTCGCGAGTGAACACTACCGTGCTGCGGATCGACGCCATTGTCGAGAGAGGGAATTGCATCGACGGAGTGAAGAACGCTCTGGAGTCGGAGGATTACGAGTCGGCCGCCAATTATGTGCAGACGTTCCTTCAGATTGATGCCAAGTACAAAGACTCCGGATCCGAGCAGAGAGATCAGTTGCTGGCTTCCAAGAAGCAGCTTGAAGGGATTGTGAGGAAGCGGCTCGCTGCTGCAGTGGATCAGCGAGATCATCCCACGATTCTGAGGTTCATTCGGCTGTATTCGCCTCTGGGATTGGAGGAGGAAGGGTTGCAGGTTTACGTAGGGTATTTGAAGAAGGTAATTTCTATGAGATCGCGGCTTGAATTTGAGCATTTGGTGGAGTTGATGGAGCAGGGGCATGCTCAAATCCAGGTTGATTTTGTTGGTTGTTTGACTAACTTGTTTAAAGACATTGTGCTAGCCATAGAAGAGAACGATGAAATATTGAGGAGTCTCTGTGGAGAAGATGGGATTGTTTACGCGATTTGTGAATTGCAAGAAGAGTGTGATTCTAGGGGTTCCCTCATTTTGAATACCATATATCTGAATACCAAAACTAGATGCTTTTACTGTGAAAACTAGATTTGATGGTGATAACAACGGAAAAACAGACTTCTAGTGCACAAGTCAAACATTGGATCATCCACATGATCTTCCCAATTTGTATTGTATGGATTCTGCCAATCTGAATATTCTGAAATTATTTTCTTCTTGTGCTATTCTCCAGGTGGTTTGGAATACAGCTTAATCCTCAGTTTCTGAGTATTGATTTAAAGTATGTAAGCTTAATCCCTTTGGTTTAACTTGGTTCTTTCAGTAAAAGCATTGAGCTAATTGTAAATTAGTTTGCTTCTGCAGATTCTTCTTTGTTAGAGATGGAATGATGGGATGGCTGTTTATAAACCTGTCGGTTTTAGCAAAGAGTATCCAAGATGGTACCCTGAACCAGTCAATGATCCTTTACCAAAGCTTCTGTACAGTAAGTTGCTATTTTATACTTGACAGTGTGATTTCTTTTGAAGAAACATAGGTTTGATATCCCTGATGAATCCTTTGCTCTCGGCATCCTTCTCCAGTTATACATCCTGGACTACTTTTTCTACGAAGAATACATGACATCTACGTAAGTACACCCAAAGAACATGTTTTTTGTCCCATTTCGTGAGCTGTAGTTGTTTTTCTGTGGTCGAACCTCCAGTATGATCATGGTCCATCTGAAACTTTCCGACTATTCTCATTTCCTTCTGACTATTCTCATTTCTAGATGGGACATAATTGCGGAGAGATTGGGCTTTATGCTGGTGTTTGGGGATCTCGTTTGGATTCCTTTTACCTTTAGCATTCAGGTATTCAACTTTGCACTCCCTAATCTTCTACCACTTCAGAGGAAAACTTGGCATAACTTATATCAGATGTTATGGTTCAAACTTTTAAACAGGGATGGTGGCTGCTAAGAAACAACGTGGAGCTAACAACAGCAGCCGTCATTGCTAATTGCTTTGTGTTCCTGATTGGGTAAACAGAGAATAATGCACTGCCATTCTATTTCACTTGTTTATACGTATTACCTAAACTCACACTGCTGGAGTGTATTAAATCATATTCAGATGTTGAAGCTTCTTCCTATTTGATACTGATGTTGAAGCTTCTTCCTTTTGCTTTTACTGTAACACCAATTTTTGGATATTTTTCAGGAGCTTTTCTGCTGTTGGTGTCGATCCTGCCATAATGGGTGTTGGTCCAGCTGTTGCAATTCCAGCAGATGTTAAAGCTGCTGGTCTAGAGCTTGAAGATATCGACCTTTTTGTGTCCATGTGCATAGGTCGGGGATATACCATATGGACTAGTCCCTTACTCTTCTAGATTGAATTGTGTTGTTCGATCAGCGATGTACCATGTGGCTAACTATGACAACTCTAATGTGCAGGAACCGGGATGGGAGAGGCAGCTGTGTTCGAAAGAGGGGATTGTGTAGATGGCCTTTGCAATGCGAAGAAAATAGACAGCCAGAACCTCTTATCCAAAGATGCCAAGTAAAACCGTTTCTCGCTGCTGGGAGGAATGATTGCCGGAACCCTCTCTCAATAGGACAGGACAACACAATAAAGTATTTGATCTTCTGTTTGATATACCTTCAACTGAGTTCAACTTGGTGATGTACACAGGACATGTGAGGGAGGTTCTTGACAGTTAACAAAGCTGCTCCTAGAGGATCAAGGCCGGAGCGGGCTCCCCCGTGTGTTCGAACCTCTATTTTTGGACTAGAATGCATTAATAGTATGTTTGTTGTGTAATTCTCACGTTGTTAACTCAATGCAAATACAAACGAATTTACTTCCACTGTTGACAAAAGCAATCAAGTCACATCTACTAATACTAATTAGTTCAAAGTACCATAACTAATTTAAATTCATATTTTACATCAAGCACCCCTCAAAAGGATAATAAACGTACAAAAGATATTAGCGTTCACATATCCATTACGCTTACAGAACACGAGAGATTACAGAGAGGTGGACCATTAATAACATTAATCCGATCATATTAATAATACCCAATTGCTACTTAGTTATCTAAAGGCAGGAACAACTTAACCAAGAATAAATCAAAATAATTCCCCACGTTGTTCCAAGGACCGATTGTGACCATGACTTCATATGACTTGTCACCAATCAAGTTGAGAAGTGTAAGATAGTCGGCATTGTCAATCTCAGAAGGACTGACTACAGAAGAAATGATTCTCCGTAAGTATGATGATGGGAACACGACCTCAACATCACAAATGTCATCTTCAATGGTCAAGTGGATCAAGTATACTCTCGATGCATCACACCAAGATCTCGTCAGCTCTGTTACAACGCCAGAGAAAATGTACGAAGTGCCCTGATATAATGCAGAAGATGATGATTTGCAAAAAAATAAACAAATCAGATGCAAATCAATCACAGAAGAGATAGAGAAGGATAGATAACAAGCGTCTTATCTTACTCACCTGATCATCACCATCCAATTGCTTTGGGATTAGATCTAAAGTTTCAACCCTCTCAGACATTGCCACGGCATTTTGATAATTTAGATTCGTAACAAAATCATCTCCAAGGGTAAAAAACCTATAATTTAGATTATTAGCAATTGTATTAAGTAGTTATGAGAACACAAGAATATGGTTTATTATGAGTTGGTTGGGAAACCATTACTTACGGGTTCCATTCAGGTATGTTGTCCATCTCAAATATATGTCACACTGATTTCCTTCTGCTCAACCTCTATTTTTGGAAGTATCTGCCATTATCAAAAGAGGATATTGTTCCGACACTAATCAAATAATCATGTACAAATGAAGAGAAGACACATCTTAGGCATCAGAAACAAAGACATGCAAGGCAAAATCAAAATAAAAGAATGTTCGAAAGTAGAAATACTAGCTGAACAGCGTATGAAAGAAAGAAGGCCTCAGTCCTTCACATTCAACTCATAGTCAGGGTTGCTGGTATTCTTCTCATTTCTAAACAAATTATAGCCAATGAAAAGAGCAAGCTGAATCCATTTAGCAGCTCATAATCTTCAATATCTGATACCTATTCAATATCATATTCACTTTAGAAAACATAGCTTACTGCAGGGCGCCACCATCAAGGAATGCAGACACAGTAGTAAACTAGAGGGGAAAGCGAGAAACCTGGTGAAGTTCAGCAGGATAAACTAATCCCGCAAGTTACTGGAATCGGGAGGTCGCCAGTGCTTCTTCTCAACTGCTGTTTTCCTTTGCTAACGGAAGCCGAAATCAATTCCTCTGTTCCATAAACACGTCGTCTACAAGTTAGCTCGGAACTTCAATAAAGCAAAGACGAAGCTCGAAGAAGAGAATAGTGTGCAAACTTCTAATGGCGGCGCGGAATCGCAAAGCGTTCCCCTTCACCAGGTCGTTGCCCAATCGACTAAGAATTATCTGAGAGCAGAAGGAGGCGTACCCAAAGGAGCGGAGGACGCGATTATCGCCAACCTGTTGATGAGTGGAAAGAAAATATAAATGTGAGATGCTGGAAAAATCTTGAGAATCAACTCTTGGGGATGAGAATAATGTGGGTCAGGCAGATAGGAGGACAGCCAAACCCGACCATGCAATGAACCAGTCCGATTGATGTCTTCGCCGGGAACGGAACAGAGGCGCCGAAGGGAAGAGGAAGAGGAAGCGGAAACGTTTTCGTGATCCTTTTTGGTTTTGGTTTTTTTTTTATGCAAACGTTTTGGCCGGCCAAACCCAACTAATGGGCCTATATCAACAGCCCAAACTTACAACTAGCCGGCCAACGGGAGAACGCGCCTGCTGCACTGTTGGGCCTATTCGGTGGTAGTAATGTTGGTTGTTTCTGATCTCAAGCCCTCAACTGCAAAAAAAGTCTTCAATTCGTCTACTCGTCGGGCCCTAATTAGACAGAACTCTTGGCCGACTTCGATGGAATGGGGCACGAGAAAGTCCAGTTATGGTTTGGTGTTTCCTAATGGACACCGCTACTATTATTATATAGGTAAGTGAATGTGTGTTCTTATCCATTTGTCGATGTGGTAGAAATAGAGAATAATCATCTTCCATGTCCATCCAATTAGCTTCTTGTCTCCTTTTCCTTCGAATTGGTCCTTGCAGGTTGTGAAAGGGTTTCTCTTTCCTGCCAGTTTAGTGTACGGTATCATCCTTTTGGGGTTGGAATTAACGGAGAAGTACTCTTTAGCAAATCATCAATTATGTCATCAATCTGGGTCTGACAAAAGAGTAATCACTTACCTTCGACCTTTTTTATAGTTTACTAAGTCATGGTCTCATGGAGAATGATTTTACATGGATTGGGTAAGTGATATTGGCGTTAGATTTTAACTAATAAGAAGGCCTTCACTATTCTTATCAGCTCAAGTGCCATTCTTATAGGTTGTGGTCTACGCCTTTATATATGGTGCCCAATTAGACATTTACAAATAAATTACAACCTCTAAGGCAATAAAATATGGACATAGAATTATATAATTGGTAATTGAACCCTAAACCCTAAACTCCAAACCCTAAACCCTATACCCTAAACCCTGAACCCTATACCCTGCACCCTGATCCCTATACCCTAAACCCTGAACCTTATCCCCTGAACCCTAAACCCTGAACCCTATATCTCCGCAAGATCAGTTCTCATAGTAGCATAACACATGCAAACGAGTCATATTCAATGGGTTGACTTTTGGTTGACTTCTGTCTATCGTTCTTTCTCAATAACGTAAAAATGGCTAATATTTTGATGCATCATGAAATATTTGGATAATTAATAGAATTTTAATAGGTTTGTAATTTTGTGCCCAGTTTGAACATTTTATGAGCTTAACTCGATTTTGGGTTTTGGGTACTTGTAATGAGCTTATCGGCCGACTTTGAGTAATCTTTGAGATCGAAATATGTGAAGACATATGTTCTCTTTGTTATACCCTCTTGTCATACACTGCACCCTATACACTGAACCCTAAACCCTAAACCCTAAATCCTGAACCCTAAACCCTATACCCTGAACCATATACCATGAACCTTAAACCCTAAACCCTAAACCCTAAACCCTATACCCTGAACCATAAACCCTAAACCCTAAACCCTAAACCCTAAACCAAGAACCCTAAACCCTAAACCCTAAACACTCGTTTATATGAGCGGTAACTTTAAACAATTTTATATATACTTAAATTGAGGACATAGGTTTAGAATTTGAAAAAAAATAAAGAAACAATGAATATAAATTTTCATTCCCCCAAACTATCCCGCCAGTTTTTTGTTTTGGATTTTCCCAAAATTTGAACCAAATAAAAAGATTTTCCCACCATATCATGAATCACTCGAAGATGCAGCTTTGAAATAGGAAAGGCTAATTAAAACACAAAGAAAAAAAAAAGGAAAGGCTTGACAGGCTGGAACACGATGTCGTACAGGACAATAGAATTAGGGTAACTCTACCTTCCTCATTCGCATCCTTCATTCTTCCTCAGATCCACCCATTTCCTCACCATCGTTCCAGTGATTAGGATAACGAAACAGCACGAAAATCACAAATCCTACCCTAAAAAAACGACAATCCAACGATGGAGCTCCAAACAGAACGGCGACGGACAATAGAATCACTCGAAGAAGGTAGGCTTCCGAATCTCTGCACTTCCCTCGCCCCGATTTGGCTTTGATTCACTGAAACGGCGATTGGTTCAGGTTCATGCTCTGGTAGCGAGCAACGAAACGGTGATTGAAGCTGGGATCGGAGATGAGGGAGCTCCACAGCTTGCAGATGGGTTTGTAGAGGAAGGCGGATCTGGGATTGGGGAGGGGAATCAGAATCTCGACGAGGAGGCCGTCTCCGAGTTTGCTGATGGCGGAAGGAGGGTGTAGTGAACTTCTGAGAAATGGGTTTCTGTTGCCGCCGCCGCTCCTATCGGTGACAACGGCTCCTCCTCCATCTCCACCGCTTCGCCGTTACAGCCAGGTAAAGTTTGGTTCTTGGTCTCTGCTTTAGCTTGTTTTTCTCTGATGGATTCTGAGAACTGGGTTTCTGTTGCAGTTGGGAGCCGGGTTGGAGAAGTGAGGAAACTCACCAAAGAGACCAATGTTTCTGTGAAAATTAACTTGGATCGGTCAGTACTTCCAGTTACCTTCCCCTTTTCATTTCTCAGTCTTCTGCCTTGATATAGCTCACCACTTGTAAATCGCCTCCATGGATTATTGATTGAGGATTTTGAGAGCTATCAGCAAAGAGAGCTAGGGAATTGGTCAGGCAAAAACAAGCAAAAGTGCTTTCTCTGAGGTATTATATGCTAGTGTATTTATATTTAGCAGAGTTTTGTGCCAAATAACTTGGTGTAGTTCCTTTGTTACTTATACTATGTTGCTTTCAATGATCTTCTTATTAACTCATCGACTGCTTTGGTACCATTAATGTGCATTCTTGACTCCTGTCTTGTTTCAGGTTGAACTTAAAGGGAAGCAAGGAGGTCTATTCTTCTGGATTTTGTTTGGATGATGAATGTTGGAGATTGTACGAGAAACAGGTGCATGATCTTCTAACTCGATGCGTATAACTTCGACCAGAGCTGGTTCTGATATTATCTTATTGCAGGGTTTTTCCACTCTCGACAGAGAACCATTGATTGTAGGAATTTCTATGAGCACTCCGGAGAAAGCTTTCAGAGTAGTTGATATTGGCCCTGACGCTGAAGACAAAGATGCGGTATTGAATTTATGTGTTTGTCAGTCTCAATGTTATTGCCCCCAAATTCACGCTAATTGCTTCTGTCTGTTCCTCTTGACTAGGTTCTTAAATTCCGTAAGTTTTGGGGTGAAAAGGCAGAGCTTCGGAGGTTCCAAGATGGCCGAATTGCTGAAAGTACAGGTGAGGGTCTGATTTGTTGAGGACTTGAGGTGCCATGAGATGCATATTGCAGTTAACTTGGTGAATAACTTTTGTCGTCTATACAGTCTGGGAAACAAAGGATTGGACAAATTTGCTTGGGACATTTGAGGTTCTAGAAAGGCGCCTGCGCTCTATTGAAGATGTTCCGTTGAAGATATCTCACGTACAACCTTTAGACCCAGGTACTGTCTGAATTGTCAGGTGGTTAGATGAGATTAGTACTCCTATTTTACAGGCTATTCTAATCCCTTTTGTGCTTAGCGTTGAATTATTTCAATTTTCTGTCCTTGTACTCATTTTGAAGTTCTTGCAAAAACATGGACACAGGGAGAGGAGTTCAAAAAGGATGCTCTTCGTTATCATAAGATCATCATCTTAACCGATGCGGATGTGGATGGTGCTCACATTAGAACACTTCTTTTGACTTTCTTCTTCAGATATCAGGTATATTTTGATATAATATACCGAATAGAAGACTAGAGAAGTACTTGTATTCGAAGCAGAAAGATCTTAAATCAAGTTTTAATTACTTAGAATTAAGATCATACCGTCGAGCACAGTTAACGGGATTTTTTGTAAACTTCTTGTACAGAGGGCATTATTTGATGAAGGTTGCATCAATGTTGGTGTGCCTCTGCTTTACAAGGTACACTCTCTTTGGAAATTCACAAAGTGAATTAATTTGTCTCGATTGAGGATTGACTGAGAAGTGAGAACCATGAACCTGTCGATGTATTTGGATGTTGCAGATTCTTCTACATTGCCCTATGGCTGGAGTCGCTATGCACAATTCAGCTTGGCTGTGGTGAATCAAATTCACAACAAGTACTCAATCAGAAAAGGTACGTTTCTGGTTCTGATAGACAGTGCCTTGGTTTTTTGCTTTATATGGTTTTTGCTTTAATAACCAACCATATGCATATCAATCTCAGGCACCTCGAAGAGAAGATGAAGAAGACAACAAAGTTAAAATCAAAGGGGTCTTGCAAAAAATGCACGAGGTATGTCCTTGAATAACTAAGAACTCATTTCCAACTCTCTATGTTCTTCAAACCACAAAAAAAAAAAAACCGTCAAAGGCTGCAATTGTTGTAAATCAACGAAGCTAAAAGATTCTGTCCCATCAATTTAAATGAACAAATAACAAAAACTGAGTGCTTTTCAACTCCTTGCTCTGGATGTTGTTCAACTTCTTGCCCTGTCTGTGTTGTTCAACTTCTTGCCATGTCCCCTCTTCTGAAACATAAAAAACAAGATAAAAGAACATTGAAACTGTCAATTTTTTAGCAAAGGTTCTCACATAATATATATATTAGGATGGATTAGATTATTTTCACTAGAAAAACCTGTTGGGTCCTCTCAGATTGGCGTTCAGAACATTGAGCAGAAGGCTCCACACTAGGTTCTGTATGCTTATTGGATTTCCCTTGCTGCTGATGTGTCATAGTACTACTCCTAGTATGTGGCCCAGTCTGTTACAAGAGTAGGAATTAAACTCTTAAGTTGATAGCTACTTGTACCAAATAGAATAAAATTTAGAAAGAAAGTGTTGTATAACCTTATGTCGCTTCGGTATGTTTTCCGTAGGCTCTACATCAGCATCGTGGTTGCTCGTTCGTTCATTCTGATATAACCATTATGAAAACACTTAGTTTTTAAGAACTATTAATTCTGATAAAAACTCAAATATGTTTTAACAATTACCTTTTGGGGCCGACCACTTTGGTCATCGTCATCATCTCCATCATCACCTCCCTCATCACCTCCATCATTGTCCGCAAAATCCATATCATCGTCGTCATCCTCTTCATCAGACGAAGATTCTCTAGCTGGCGGCACGTAGCCTTCGGGTTCAGGACAAGTCTTAATATAATGACCGTCCCTTCTACCGCATCTCCCACACTTCCTCTTCTTTTTCTTCTGTTGTTTTTTTGCCTTTCCTTTTCTACATCCCTTGAACAACACTTTTTTGGGATTGAGGACTCTTTCGAACTCCTTAGGTATTACCATCGATTCCCTTTCAGCCGGAGTTGTTCTCATCATTTCCAACTTGTCCCTCACTGCTGTCAACCCCCCTCGAGCAACCTGGAAAGATAGAGGAGTCTCTGCCCCCAATAGGAAAATATGTGTAGCCAAGAACTGGAGTGACCCATATCTGGTGTTGAAAGAATGATCATCCCCCACCTTAGGTGGCGGTGGCATACTGTCTATTGACTTAGGGTTCTTTGAGCAACGTTTAAGTACCAGTTTCTCAGGAAGACTTTTCACCCGTTCTTCTTTCAACACACAGAGCATATGAGTGCAGGGAATTCCAACACTGTTAAATTTTTTACAGCTGCACTCCATATCCTTTGTTTCAAGGTTGTATTTTACCTCCACAACCTTCTGTTTGTTGAACATACTTAAACTGTAGGTGTGTATGTTTCCATCCTCAGATTGAGTGTTCTTTATGCACCCAATAACCTGCTCTAGTTCACTTCTGAATTTAAGAAATGCAGCTTTCGAGAACAACTTAACTGCACTTTCCTCAAGGGGTCTAAGCATGGTGCTCTTTAGCGGGGTTAAACCATAATTAGATTTAAAATCTAATTTGATCTCTGTTTCCCTCAAATCCCTACACCAACGATCATACTGAATGAAAAAGTCAAGCAAACAGTGTCTCTCCTCCAAATATCTTCCAACAAATGAATTTATACCTTCATTTCTTGATGTGGTTGTCAGCCCGGCAAAGTAGTGGGAGCGCAAGTATGTGTCCGCCCATTCTCCGCGTCTCCCAAATAAATTTGTAGTCACCCATTGGTTGTTCTGTAGACCACATTTTTCCACTAATTCCTTCCATTTCTCTTCAAATTCTTCTTCCTCATAATCAGCAGTTACAAATTTGCTCCATTGGGGTTCGAAGTCTGGGTTATTCTTCACCTTGCCCTTGATATTCTTTGAAAGATGCCACGCACAAAGCCGGTGTGTTGCATCTGGAAACACAGTAGCAATGGCATTCCTCATTGCTTTATCCCCATCTGTTACAACTGTATGCAAGTCCTTTCCACCCAACATTTCCTTCAATATCTCCAAAGCCCACTTGTAGCTCCCTTCAGTCTCATTAGCTAACAGTGCACTCCCAAATAAGCAACTCGTGAAATGATGGTTGATACCTTAAATAGCAAGTGCTTCTCAACTTGTTTACAGATTAGAAAATTGAATATACGAATCAAAATTAGCACTAAGGTGTGTACCTGTGAAAATAACAAGAGGCATATTGTAAATATTTTTTTTGTATGTCGTGTCAAATGCGAGCAACTCGCCAAAGCACAAGAGGTCAGCTATGCTCATACTGTCTGCCCAGAATAAACTGTGGAGCCTATTTTCCTCGTCAGTAGTGTACCGGAGGATGAAGTGCGTGTCCGTACTTTTCTTCGATTCTAGATAGGCCAGTGCGGCTGCCGCATCACTAGGACATAGCCTTTCATTGCGATCTCGAGTGCTGAAATTCATCCCATCTTTTACTGTGTACCCAACTTTGTCATGTCCTCCAGCATTATGCACAGCAAGCTTTATGATTTGAGAAGGTTTCATACCTGCATTCTTCTTAAATCTAAAGTCTGCCTTGTCAGCCTCTGTTAACCCTCGTTGTGATCTTAGGTGATGAGTACAATGCCGATTAATTGGCATATGATTGTGATCTTCTTTAAATATATCCACTATCCATTTTGAATCATTCTTGTTAAATGCCACACGCATTTTTGCTTGACAACCAAATCTGGTCTCCATGGGGGAGTCTCTCTTCTTCTCCCCTTTGTTGGGGGCTCTATGTCCCTCACAAGAACAAACGAAAGCTCCATTAGTAACCTCTCCCTTGCTGTTCCGAACTTTCTTTGAGCGCCTAACAGAGAATCCCCAAGCCCTTGCATAATCATTGTAGAAGTTGTAAGCTTCTTCAAAGTCATTAAATATCTGGCCGATTTTAGGAGGATCTAAAATCACATCTTCCATCCCAGTCGTTTCTCCATTCTGATCATCATCGTCATCTCCTGTTTCCTCTAAAATCTCAAGGTCATCTTCGATGGGACTGTTACGAGGATGTTCTTCTTCTTCCATCGATAACCTTCTTTGATTTAGGGTCTCGGCAGGGTGGGATAATGACTTTAGGTGGTTGTAGAGGGTTGGAGGCGCTGAACGTGTATGTACGTTCTCAGATTATGCCCAAATAGCTGCAGGAAACCTATTTTTACCCGTCTGTTGTTTTGACTATGTTAAGAATCATTATTTTAGTATTTTTGGTAGCGTAACCTTCCACTTCAATTAATTATCCAATGCTGCCATGTGTAAATTGATTCATTTATTTTTTTATTTATTTGTCTCTCTCCTTACCGATCTGCTTCCTCTCAAAACCGGAAAATCTTCATCCTTCTGTGTTCTGTACAGAGGAAAAAACGTGTAAATTGAATTCGATTAATAAACAAATAGATGATGATAAAAGAATTTTCTAAGTTTAATTAATGATAAAAGATTTTCCTGTATAGCTTAATAGGATTTTCTAAGTTGACTTAATAAGGTAGATAATTATAACACTTACCATAAAGAGAAAAACACTCTACATCCCCCTTTATTAAGACGTGTAAAACCCCTTTTTCAGGAATACCCAGTTCTGTTCTGTACCGTTTTGTGAAGCTGGAACAGAAGAGGACAAGGGAAAAGCAAGGGTAAGTAAATTATATACACAAGGAAGAAAGCCACCATCGTAATTTCTCTCTTTCTTCTAAATTCCTCTTTTGTTATGATTTCTTTTTATCTCAGGGACAAGAACAAGATGAAGCATGTTGTGGACAGCGGGGTAATGACAAGATCAAAGGCGCGGTCGTCCGGTTTAATGGTATGTCAGTTTACATGTTTTCATATCTCCATCGTTTATGAGCTTATTTTTCGTTAAAAACTAAAGAACGACGATTGTTGTTGTACTATGAACGTAGGAGCTGGAGAAGGATGTATCTCCGGTAAAGAAAGCTAGAACTGAAGACGGTGCGATCCCTCCATCGACGCCGGGATCAAATATGATTGTTCTTGATGGTGAATCGAGGGGAGATGGCAATGCTTTAGTCTGGAAAAGTCATACCAGATTATCAACCCTGCAATTCACCGATAAGGTATTTCTACCCTTCTCTCGTATTTTCTGCTTCGGTTCTCTTTTCCGACACTTGTTTCTTTGTGTTTTGCTTCCCAATCGATAGTGGCGAAGTTATCTGTGTAAACTTTCTCTTATCTTTTATTTCCTTCACAGACTGATTGTAGTATCGCAAAGCTGCTGCATAATCGCCCTATAGTTCAGATGAATGAAATATACAAAATTAGTGTGTTTAGTAGTCAAACGTATATATTAGAACTTAAAAATTAACTACTGTGGTCAGATGGAACTAATAGAATGAAGTAGCCAGGTTCCTACAATTCTTAGCCATCACTGATACTTATGAAGGTGCCTAGACAAGAATGACTCAATTATATGGCTCTTGAACAAGCAGTCCAAGCATGGTTCAATAACAATAAGTAGATCAGGGTCTTCGATATTACTTTTTGAGCAACTTCTTATAATTATTATGAAATCATAATGGCAGAAGGGCTGTGTGAAGAGCAATCTTCTGCTACCAACAATTAATTAACTTTAACGCAACATGAGGAATGCACTTAACATATCCAAACCAGAGAACTACAAACCTTGCTATGGTACGAACGAGCTAAGTTATAGTATGAATGTGACTTTGTGGGCCCGTGATTGGTCACAGCTAGTGCGGTTTCTGTCAGTTGCTCAACAACATAATGCTGTCCGGTGAAGAAAAAGTGATTGGCTAAATAATTGAGTGCCATAGGGCAATAAGGGTAAATTTCGAAAGCTTGTCTCATCTTTTCCATCCCTTTCCTAGTACGAGAAGCTGTGGAGATGAAAAATGACAAATTAGCAAGCCTTAAAGTAACAACTTCATGTGGAAAAAAAATAAGCAGACCAACCTTCATTTGTTTGTAAGTCTAGAACTGCCAGTGCAACTAGAGCCTCAACATTTTCCGGATCTAACTGCATATAAGAACATACAAATGAAGGCATCACTTATAACCAACTTGTATGATGCCCGCCAGGCGAGTGCAAATGCAATGCTTGTACTTACCTGTAAAACACGATCAAATGCCTTCCGGGCTCTTTCGAAGTGGCCCATCTTGTACTGACACTGACCAATACCAAGCCTGACAGGTCCAGGACAATCAGGAAATATTTGTAATACTCTCTGAACAGAAGCCAAAATAGCTAGCGTCATGGCCACTCTTAGTCCATACAAATAGATAAAAACAAGCAGCAATGAAATGAGGATAACAAACCCTAAGCTTAGCCTTGGAAGAATTGGGCCGAGACCCAAAGTTATTTTATATTTTTTTACGGGTCTGTTGGTTGAATTTGATTCACCATGTTTTGTGATATAGTTGCTTGAGAGAGATTCAGGGCCTCGTATTAGTGTGTTTCTTCACTACTGAAGTGATTTAAATGGCAGTATGTATCAGTAGCCAACCTTGAACAAGTTGCGCTCTTTATGTGAAGATTACGAATGACGATTACATTAAAATTAGGGCGATAATTAGCAATCCCCTCTAATCCACCCCACTAATATTTTTCTGCCTTAAAACGGAATCAGTGGTTATATTTTTATCGAACCCGCTAATATTCTTTCATCTTTCATTGCAGGCAGAAACTAAGTTTAGGCTGCCTCACGCTGTCAACTACAGTGAGGAGGAAATCAGACTTGCTCACTACATCTTTGCAGCTGACCTTCCGCTAAAAGAGGTCCTAGTCGATACCATGATGAAATCCTATACGCGAAAGGCGCTATGGTCCCTCTGCCCTAACTCCAATGTTGATGCTGATGTAAGTTTTAATCCTGGCCTACTGTTACTAATCAGGATGTTGAACTGGCATAATACCAATCTCCTAAAATTTGTATACCCTCGTTGGTTGGTGTGTTAGGTAATTACAGCAATGACTTGCCACTTGACCCTGGACGAAATTACGAGAGATGCTGGCCGTGGGAGAAGAGTATGTTTTCTGCCTTCTGAACTGCAGGTACATATTGATTTACCTTGTACATGTATTTTAGGTGAAATATACTGTTAGTCCTATGGTATATAATAAACGTGTAATTCTGCTAATTTAATCAAATCATGATTAGGAAATGGTACTTAACTATGGCATGACACCGAAAAAGGCTTTAGAGTGTTACGGTACAAAGTTTCTCACAACAGCTCACACCTGCAGAAAGGTTTTCTTCTCCAATCAAGCTATTTAACTTTTTCATATATGAAATGTCAAATATGGTTTACTGATGTTAGTATTTCTTGTCATAATGTAGTTGTGTCTGCCAATGAAGGATATCATGCATGGTGATGACATTCATTGGTATTTAGTAGTCATCTTGATGGATGACAAGCAAGTTCATATCTTGGATTCATATCCTTCTAATGAGCGCCAAACACCTCGCAAAGATGCAGTACAAACTATGGTATGGTCAGAATTTGTGTGTGGAATATGATTATATTTGTGAACTGGATTTTTGTTCTCTTCTATTTGTAATAAAGTTACTCCTTATGTAGATTGGATTTCTCGATGCCTTGTTCGAGGATCTTTATTTACAAGTGGAACAAATGTGCGATCCCCCAGTGATGAAGGAGTTCTCTTTGACAATTCCTAAAGTTCCGGAACAACGTCACGAGTAAGAATCATTCCTCATGCATAAATTCGAAAACATACTCACTACTGATCATATGCTTCATCTAAATTTATGTAGGTCTGACAGTGGCGTTTGGGTGTGCGTATGGATGATGGGTGCAACTTGGGATGAAGATTATTTTATATGGGTAAGCAACAATTCACTTGCTTGAACTTGTAGTTAAACAACCTAGTGAATTTGCTATTGAGATCCATTGTCTTGTGAAATATTTTCAGCCATGTGGAGATATGAGGAGAATGCAACTAGCTTTGTATCTAGTTAAACAACCTGCAAATTATATAAGGCATGTGGTCATCAAGGAAGCAAATAGGAATGCACAGAGGTTTGAACTCGAGACTCGTACGTACAAGGAAGAAAACCGAAAGAGGCTGAACAAGAACTAGAGCTATATGGAGATTGTGCTTCCATGATTTCGTAATTTAAGCTTGCTTTTTTGATTCAAGGACTTGTTCGTTATATGTTTCACTACATTTCATCAGATTAACGGTTGCATTTCTGTTGGGTATTTTGGGTGAACAAATTTCAGTTTACATTATCATGAGATTCGGTTCTTTTCGTTCAATGTTGAACTTGGTTGTTTGTTGAACTAGCTACTGCACGTTATTGTTTCCCAAGCAGACCAGTTCTAAGGAATGTTTTATTTTGAACACTAACTGTTCTATGGATTGGTTGTGGATTTCTTTCCAATGTAGCGGTTGTGCAGTCCACGGTCTCGCCTTCTTGCTCAGATATAGTGCCTGGGCCAGACTGCTGAATACACTGAAACTGAAATAATAATCCCAGTCCATCAAATTCACAAACAAACCATGTGGCGACTAACGATTATCAATCCACTCAAAAAGGTTTGAAAGAGAAAGGATATGAACCTGTTCCACGTTAACAGCTTAAAGATTGATGCATTACTTAAGTTTGTGATAATATGTTCAGAATCCTCTACTTAAACCGTATTACCCCCCAATTTCACTAGTTTTCATTATGAATTTGCCTCTTCCCCAACACCCTCCACGAGAACCCCAAAGGAAAAGAGGAAGAAAATAAATCTCCACCTTAATTGCAATTATACAGGTACGAAATAATCAACACCACTCCAAGCTTGGAAATTTTCTTATTACAACTAAGTGACAAAACAAATTGAGCGAGAGAGTGCTGCTCAATGGAATTATCACAAGCTCAAGGATTTACAGATTCAATGTTATAAATCCATACCAGACCATGTATGGACACCAGTCACATCCAAGCTCCCTAGGCCTCAGTCTTCCAGTCACATCCAAGCTCGATCAAATCTTTTCACCAGCCCTTCCACTTTTGCAGAACTCGTCAAAATTAGACAACAAGTTCAACTGATTCTCATAAGCATCAACTCAGATAGCCTTTCGGCGGCGGCCTGCAAGATGACAGTCACTCAGTGATTGCCAATTTAACTTTCCCATGAGCATTTTTTGATTACCCTTCCTCATGTCTGACCTCCGCACCGCCATCTCCATCGATTTCGTCTGCAGGTGTTTCCAGTATAGAGTTTTTCGTCGAACAGCCCTTACCCCCATCTCTCGAGTATGCGATTTTCACTATGCAATAGATAGCGATGGCGCCCGAAAAAATCCAGAGCTCGGCTATTGAAGTCGATCAGCCCTCATGTCTGACCTCCGCACCGCCATCTCCATCGATTTCGTCTGCAGGTGTTTCCAGTATAGAGTTTTTCGTCGATCAGCCCTTACCCCCATCTCTCGAGTATGCGATTTTCACTATGCAATAGATAGCGATGGCGCCCGAAAAAATCCAGAGCTCGGCTATTGAAGTCAATTTGGTAGGAGAATTGATTCGATGGTGAAAAGAGGATAGGGTTCGTCCGTGAGAAAGAACCTGGAGCTCGGCTATTGAAGTCAATTTGGTAGGAGAATTGATTCGATGGTGAAAAGAGGATAGGGTTCGTCCGTGAGAATGAAGGGGATATGGGAAAGGGGTTTTTTGGAGTTGTACGACATGGTGGTTCTGACTTATGTGTTTACATCTATCAACTAATGAATAGTTTGAATGTAACTTGATGGAAACACAATCACACAAAAATTGGGTGATCGGTTAATTAGATAGAAGAATATTAGGCATGATAATATGGAAAGATACGAAAATTTTGTATAGGGACTAAAGAGCACGTATTAAAAAGTAATAGAACCAATCAATTATTATAGAATCGTAATTAATAAATAATTTAATTAGAATTAATAACAGACGTTAGATTAAATCAACGGTGTAGAGAACCTGGAGCATGCTATGCGTCTGGAGCGTACGAGTCTGAACCATATATATATATATATATATATATATATATATATATATGGTGGCGTATTCTGTGCACCCACTTTTTCGGGTGCACTGAGTGCACCCGCCTCATAATTGTCATTCTGACCATGCGATTCATGTCAAAACGGTATCAATTGTTGCTTATGATATTATGAGCAAGAAGCACATGAATTTGAAAAAAAATTCATTCAAAATTTACTTTAATTTGAAGGATTTAGGATTTAGTGATTTAGGGTTAGGGTTTAGGTTTACAATTTGGGATTTTGGGTTGGGATTCAAAATTGAAGGTTAAGGGGTTAGGGTAATGGATTGATTTGTTATGATTCTATGTCATATCATTATATTATATTGAGAGTACTAATTAAAGTTCAAAATTTGATGTAATATGGACGTTTTTAGAGTTGGGTGCACTGAGTGCACCCAAAAAAGTGAGTACACCGAAGTAGCCACCATATATATATATATATATATATATATGGTGGCGTCTTCAGTGCACCCACTTTTTTGGGTGCATTCAGTGCACTCACTTCATAACCGTCATTTTAAACATGCGATTCATGTCAAAATGATGTCAATCGTCACTTATGATGTGATGAAAAATAACGCACATGAATTTGCACAAATACCATTGAAGATTTACTTTAATTTGAAGGATTTAGAGTTTAGAGATTTAGGGTTAGGGTTAGGGTTTACAATTTGGGGTTTAGGGATAGAACTCAAAATTGGAGGTCTAGGGCTTAGGATAATCCGCTAATTAGTTGTTATCCTATGTTATATCATCATATTACACTAATTCTACAAATTAAAATTCAAAATCCGACACCTTAAGACTAGTTTTTGAGTTGGGTGCATTGAACGCACTCATTTTTGTGAGTGCATCAAAGTAGTCACCATACATATATATATATATATATATATATATATATATATATATATATATATATATATATATATATGGTGGCTACTTCGGCGCACTCACTTTTTTGGGTGCACTCAGTGCACCCACTCTAAAAGTGTCCATATTACATCAAATTTTGAACTTTAATTAGTACTCTCAATCTAATATGATGATATGACATAGAATCATAACAAATCAATCTATTACCCTAACCCCTTAACCTTCAATTTTGAATCAAAATCCAAAATCCCAAATTTTAAACCTAATCCCTAACCCTAAATCCCTAAATCCTAAATCCTTCAAATTAAAGTAAATTTTGAATGGATTTTTTTCAAATTCATGTGCTTCTTGTTCATAATATCATAAGCAACAATTGATACCGTTTTGACATGAATCACATGCTCAGAATGACGATTATGAGGCGAGTGCACTGAGTGCACCCAAAAAAGTGAGTGCACCGAAGACATAACCATATATATATATATATATATATATATATATATATATATATATGGTGGCTTCTATCGTACCTTGGGTAAAATTTAGGATACGACATACCCTGAGTAAAAAACGCTATCTAGATCTCTAATTAACCAGATTTTTGGGCATGATACTGTACCCTAACCTATGATGAGTGAACACTGGGTCTCAGTTTTCAAAATCATAGAGCCTAAACCCCTAAGATTGTGCATGTAATTTGTTGCATATATTTCGATGAATCATGACCGTCGATTTTGGTTTCTAATTAAATTGATCTTGATGTATGAGATTTATAGAATTAATACCTAGATTTTAATCTTTATGGGTTTGTGAATAGTATCGGATGTCAAACTTCGGTCAATTCGAGGTCCAGATAGTGTTTTCTTGCTCAAGGTATACCGTACCCTAGATTTTACCCTAGGTACGATAGAACTGCCCATATATATATATATATATATATATATATATAAGTTTGGCATTAGTTCGTATTATCAAATTACTAAAATAAAGGTATTTCGACACCAATGTCATTCTCTCGCTTGTTAGCTACAAGCAAACCCTTAAATTATGGGTTACGATTCATCAATTGGTATCAGAGCCATAGTCCTCGACCTGACCGCGATCCACGCTCTAGCGCAAAGCACCAGGGAGACTCGCGAGACTGCTGAGGAAACTTGTATGAGGCTTGCGGTGACTTGCGATCGGATCATGACATTATGTTACGATTGAGAGCGGATCTGGTGACTAAGGGGGGGTGCTTAGTCACTTGACTAAGCCCCTCCCAGCCCTTAGATCTGGACACTTCAATCTAATGGTTAAAAAGTGGGAAGGGCTATTTAATTAATGACAGGGGTAGTTTGGGTATTATAGAAAATTACAAAGTATACAAACCGGATTTACAATCAGTACAAACCATACAAACATACGAACAATACAAACTAGAGCGACAAAACATACAAACAGATTTACAAACATTACAAACGTATGAACTGTACAAACAATACAAACTAGACCGACAAACAATACAAACTATACAAAAAGAAAAAACAACCGGGTTGACTTTTGAGGCTCCATCCCTATATAGAGGGGCTCCTTCCCAAAGTCAACCCGGGTGTTTTTTAGACATACAAACAGTACGAACATGGTGGACAAAAATTACAAACTAGACCGACAATCCATACGAACGGGAAAAAACACCCGGGTTGACTTTGGAGGCTTCATCCCTATATAGAGGGGCTCCTTCCCAAAGTCAACCCGGGTGTTTGTTAGACATAAAAAAACATTACGAACATGGTGCACAAAAATGACAAAGTTTACAAACATGGTGCACAAAAATAACAAAGTTTACAAACATTAAAAAAAACCGACAAACATTACAAAATAACAAAGCATACAAACATTACAAAATATGTCAACAAACATCACAAAATTAGCACTGTCGCCGGGAAATTATTCTCCGGCGACGATGTTCGCCGGAAAAAATTTCCGACCAGAAAATTTTCCGACAAAAAATACTCTCTCTCTCTCTCTCTCTCTCTCTCTCTCTCTCTCTCTCTCTCTCTCTCTCTCTCTCTCTCTCTCTCTCTCTCTCTCTCTCTCTCTCTCTCTCTCTCTCTCTCTCTCTCTCTCTCTCTCTCTCTCTCTCTCTCTCTCTCTCTCTCTCTCTCTCTCTCGTAGTTGAAGTGGGGAATTCCACAAGAGTTCCCAGCACCTCTCTCTCTCTGGGAATTCCAGGGAATAATGGCGGATGATGGGAGCAATTTCTTGCCCCGGAAATTGGACGGAGACAAAGCGGCTGTCCCGGAAATTGGACGGAGACGAAGCGGCTGTCCCGGAAATTGGACGGAGACGAAGCGGCGCAAGGGACGGGCCGACGCGGACGCCTGTTTTTTATTTATTTTATAATTAAAAGTAAAAATTAAACATGCAATTACTACAATGCCCTTTATTAAATTGAATTAATAGGAGCCCTTAGATTTTAATGAGGTTGAATGGTTGAGATTCACTTAGCCATGTGACTAAGGGGACCCCCTTAGTCACCTGATCTTAGCCCGTTACGATTGGGGGCTTAACCATGTCTGCGCAACTATCATCGATGGAGAGCGAAGCGACGACGATGTGGCCAGCGTCGATGCCAATGAAATCAGCATGGCGAAGGAGATCAAGATCTCCGTCAATGAGATCGGCGGGAAGGAAACAGTGTACAAGGGTGATAAGCACCTATGCGAGACTCTCACCCAACGATCTAGGAGCATTGAGAAGGAAACAGTGCGCATGGGTGATGATCACCTATGCGAGGCTATCACCCAACGATAAGGAAGTTGTGGGAAGGTGGAGATCGAGGTTGGAGCTCGATCCAATAGAGGCTACGAGAAGGTGGAGTTCCCAGTTGGAGCTCGACACAAAGCAGACAGACAGGCTGTCGAGAAGGAGAGCTATTCGAATTCACGTGTTTGGCCGCCATTTATGTGACGTCTGCAGGTGGTCGAATCTTTTGGTGGCCGCTGAGAAGCTTTGGGGCTGCTAAAAGGATTGTCATTGCTATGTAAGTCGTCGGGTGGAATTAAGTAATACGAGGTACCGTCCGGGGCTGCGCATTCATTTGCGGGGTTAAAGAGACAAACAAAATGGTCACTTGATCGATGGGGTCTAAATGAAGATAGACTTAAATTGGTATTACGCGGCAAGATTTCTACCATTTTTCCTAACTATAGGGAATTCCGGTCAATATTCATGATTGGAAATATAGAAGGAAAGGGAAGTTAGAGGCGTATGGGATGGAATGCGTAGTGACTAGAGGTGGCAATTGGATCGGATTCGTGGATTCATGGATTGGATTGGTGGATCCATGGATCAAATGGATTGGATCCAATGGATTGGTGGATTCATGGATTGGATCAAATGGATTGGTGGATTGATCCATGAATCCAAATGACATCCAAAGCTTGGACCAAAATGTAAAATTTGAAAAGTTTTGGTACTAAAATGTCATAATGAAAAATTTTAGGTACCAAAATGTAATTTTCCAACGATATTTTTTGTATAAAAATATAAATTTTAGGTACCAAAATGTAAAGTATAAAAAATATAGGTACCAAATCGTAATTTGTCATTTGGATCCATGGATTGATCCATGAATCCACCAATCCAATTGGATTTGGATCAAATGGATTGGATTTAAATGGATTGGATTAAGTGGATAATTTGGTGGATGGATTGGATTGGATTCATGGATTTGGATCCTAATTGCCACCTCTAGTAGTGACGGTGTTGAATTCGGGTGTTGGCCATGGGATGAAGGTTATGTTACATGAGTAGAAGGCATTGGGTGCTATTTTCATTCGGCCTAAGCTCTTGTATTTCAGGTAAGGATTTTTTGCACCTGTCGATGGCCACGTTGCCGAGTTAGGAGTCCCGAGTCCCGGCCAATACAAGGAAGAAGATTAGAGACCGAAGTGCAAGCTGGAAATTTTGAAAGTGAGAGAAGCCTCAATGTCATCACAAGAGTTGTGATTGCTTTCGTTGTCGACTATCGCGTCTCAACATGGACCGAACCTTGGGGATCAAGCTAAGGTTCGTTGAGGGAGAAGGAATGATGAGAACAAATGTTTGGGCTTTGGGATTAGTACGTATTTGTGTTGATGGGTTTAGGTTATTAGGTGTACACTTGCCTTTGTTTAGGTTTAGTACATAGGTAATGGCAAGTTGCATGGGTTTCATAGACCAAGTTGTAGCCGAGTAGTAGATTAGTAGTTGTGGGACAAGATACGTATTAGGAGTTGGGGTTAGCTAGGCTTACATATTAGGTTTAGTTGTCTATATATTGTAACTACGACATTAGTCTGATTTATCGAATTATAAAGTAAAGGTTTATCGACAACAATGTCATTCTTTCGCTTGTGAGTTGCAAGCAAACTCTGGAATCGAGAGTTTCGATTCATTAATCACCAAAATGCTTCTATGTAGAAATACTCCTTTGACTACATTGGATATGCACTTGATCTTCAACATTGTAGATTTTCAAATTAATAGCTGAGATATGCCCTTGATCTTCTACAGAATATATCCTCAAATTCATTGTGAACATTGTCATATAACACCTTGATGACAATTAGTACGTGATAAACCGTAAAGAACACAGAGCTTTTAAAGTGGTATCTCTGATAAATAGGACTAATTCACGGGAGATGTTATGCTTTCTAAAGGGTATTCACTATAAATGAATTAAGGGGTGATTTGGAAGTTGTGATTGTTAAATAGATGTATTGTTGTGAATGCATAATATTATACATGTATTGTCGAATTTGATGCATTGTAGAATACAACGTTTGGTAAGTATTATTTTGTATGTCACGTCAACTAAAAGGTGGGACAAAACAATCTCAACTCAACAATCACAACTAAAAGTTGAGATATAACAATCACTCATTTTGAGTGATAGTTTTGTTACACTACAGAAACAATCCATGTATTGTTTCTGCTAAAAATAAAATAAAAACTAAATTATACATATATAATAACAATCTCAACAAAACAATCGCAACTTCCAAACGACCTTAGCCGAACACATTTATATATTATGTATTAACACTAAACCTAATTAACCAGACACTAACGTGGCTATCTACATAATTACATATTATTACTCTATCTTTATAAATCAACACTTGTGTGATCACTGATCAATTCAGCCGTTGTCACATGACTTGGTTCTGCACAAACTGTGTCGTCTGAATTGAAAGTGTGCCACTTCGAAGGAGTAGCTTCCAAATTTGTACTAGAAAATTGAATTTGTTGGGGAAAATCCATACAATTCCTCAAAACCCAAATGAACTGATAAGCCCATAACCGCTGACAGGCCTTAGTACTCCTAAGTAGTTGCTCATCCCTAGGCGTCACGGATCAACATTAACATGGAAGAGTTGCTTGCCATGCTAAGTAGCCAACCCATGAATACTTTATGGGCCTCTGTTCACAACCATATCGAAAATATGGGGTTTTACGCAGGCCTATAATTTCAGACAATTATTCGCTAACTTGGCCGGCGCCAAGATATTCACGCCACGGAGCAAAGTATGGTCCAAATAATCGTAACCGTCCATGGTCCATCCCAAATGGAACGACAAAGCTGCACCCAATGTCGTCAACCCTGATCGGGATCCGCGACGATACCGTCGACGGTCTATACTCTCCGGCGAAGCAGAAGGCCGCCAATCGAGGTAACTACACTAGCCGATCGGCGCTCTTCCTCCGTCGAGCTCCCCAGCTTCTCGCCGCAGTCAAATTCAAGCTGCTCCTCGCCTTTTCGCTGCTATGCCTCGCGATTTTCCTGTCCTCGAAGCTCAGCTCTTTCATGGGCTGGATCCCCGACCGGGCTTCCCTCGTATCGTCCCCTTATCGGGGATCCTACACCGTGCTGATCAACACCTGGAGGCGGAATTCGCCGCTGAAGAGGACAGCCGCTCATTACGCTTCTTGCGTCGGAGCGGACGCGATCCATGTCGTCTGGAGCGAGATTGAACCGCCATCGGAGAGGTTGAAATCGGATCTCGACAGAGCCGTGAAGTTGAAGTCGTGGAGACCTGATATCCGGGTCGAGATTGAGGAGAACGGCGGCGGTGGGAGCGGCAGGTTTAAGCCGATTGATGAAGTTAGAACGGACGCGATTTTCTCTGTGGACGATGACGTGATTGTGCCGTGTTCGTCTCTGGAATTCGCTTTCTCGGTGTGGAAGACTGCTCCCCTGACCATGGTTGGGTTTGTTCCACGCATGCATTGGCTTGATTTAGATCTTTTGGTGAGTGATTAACTGATTATCAATATCTGCGATTTCAGTAATTAATCCTTTTGATTCTTGGGTGTTGCTCGATGATCTTGGAATATGCAGGAAGACTGTGATAAGTATGTGTGAATCAGTTAGAAGTAGTTGAAAAGGCTTAAGCTTTATGGTTCATAGAATGTGGGCTTAACTAGATAAGCTATTTGGGTGTGTTCATTGTTGGAAAAGGAACCGGAAATGTTAATGGACAGTTTTTCCTAGATGGTATCTTTTTGGGTTTCATCTGATCTTGCACTCTTCCCATATGTATACTGTAATTGCAGAAGAGTGGTGGCGTCTTCCATAGATATGGAGGATGGCTGTCAGTTTGGTGGATGGGAAGCTACAGTATGGTTCTGTCCAAGGCTGCATTCTTTCACAAGAAGTATTTGGATTTGTATACCAATGAAATGCCTTCACCGTTGCAAGATTACCTAGCTAGAGAGAGGCAAGGCACATGATTCACTACTTAATCGATTCTCTTGATTCGTTTCTCATAGCGTTTTCGTCTTAGTGGTGTTTGTTGACCTTGGTTTTTCTGGTCTTCCCACAGAAATTGTGAAGATATTGCAATGTCTATGGTTGTGGCCAATGCTTCTGGTACTCCTCCACTTTGGGTCAAAGGTATGTTTCTCTAAATATTTACCCGTAACTACATCACTGTCAAGTCTCTCTATGTGGTACGGCAACCTCTTGCTCCGTGTTTGCTTTCTACGTTCATACACGGTTTCATGTAAACACTGGAATTTTCTTTTAGGGAGTGGTGAGTAACTAATGGTAATAAAGCTGGAGGGACTGTTACTAAAGGAAGGATTCATACAAGTTTGGTGGTTCAGGGGGTTGCTGTATTGATTCTCTTGGTAGTTGGTGGGCACTTAGTTTAGCTGGTGTGAAAGAAACTAGAAGTCTTTATATACCCTTATGTGTCAAAACTATATAAGCTTCAGAAGGGTAAGAAGGGTGCTGTTTATAGCAGATATTGCAGAACATGTCACATTTATGGCCCTTGCAGAGAAAGTCCAATATGCGCATTAAAAGAAGACCTTACCTAGAAGTAGTTTCCTTTTGGTTCACAAGTCTAAGAGGACAGCTGAGTCAATCTAATCTACCGACTAAACTTAAACGCACGGGTCACTTCAAAGCAATAGGTGGTCGTCAGTTTTCCACGTTCTGGTTTTGCTTGAGGTCAATGCAATGCAGTCGAGTTTTCCACTCTGGTGAATTCATTTATACGTTAGAACACTGGAGGGAGAGAGCTAGGGAGTCTAGTCCCTAAACGTTGCAGCAGTAACAAATCAGTCACTTTGCTCATCGCCGTCGAGTCTTCTTTTATTGTTATCCCCCATAGAAATCTCCTTCTGCCGGTTTCTTTTTTAAGTTGTTTTCCGTTATAAATGGATGTTGAAGGTTGTGTGCAATTGCAAACAATTTCAGGAAAGATACAGGAGATCGGTTCGTGGGGTACAAGCAACGGGAAAGGGAAGGAGAAGAGGAACGAATGCCTGAACGACTTGCTGTCGTTCTACGAAACGGTACCTCTCCTCTCCACAAACGTGAAAATCGTGAACGCCAGACAGGAATGGGTCTGGTAGACTATGGTAGCAGCTGTTGTTGGCCAGTTGCGTGTGGCTTTCGTTTTTGCGCCTTTCGTCCCCGCCTCGACCAAGACACAAATTCAAAACGCGAACTCTCTGCTTGCCATCACCTTCCAGTTAAAGCTTTCAATGCCCCTCCCGTCCATCTCCACAGAGCCGATTGCTTGGTTCAGAAGACACGCGTGATCTGCAATTCCCAGACCCAAAAGCAGAAAATGATGTATCCTGTAATGTGTATTATTCCAGATACGGACGCTTTTAGCATGTGGAACATGATGCCAGGCAAAAAAGGAACCGCAGCTAGTTTCTAGATAGAATGCCAAGGATGTATACCGTATACGTTTTCTGTAGTTTCCTTATCAATACATTGGATTAGACATTTCTTCTTAGCTGGTATCAACAGTACCAAGATTAACACCACCCGTCTTCGTGGGGAAGCATTAGCTGTACAACCGGCCAAACCAGCATTCAAGATCGCCTTGTTGTCTCTTGATCTGGTTTGGCTGTTCTTCATTATTTAACTTTTGATTTAGCAGAAGCAAACAAAGATCAGCAGGGGTATTAGCACACGTGGAAGAGTATGAAGGGATGATAGAAGAGACAACGTGGCAGTTGTCACTTTTAGGTGGGTAGTGGGTTTGTACACTTTTTCCCAAAATATCAGACAGACGTAGGATAGATCTGATAAGGGAAGGTTGGATTTGTCAACATCTGTTCTTGTCTGGGCGCTGAGTAATGATAAAATGCATATGACGTTGTGCAATTAGACTTGGGTTAAAGGAAAAAAAACCAACACTCTTTTTCCCTTTGGAAAAGGTTTAAAGGCGAAATTGTCTCGTAATGAAGAAAAGATGAATGAGTCTAATCGAAGCAGCGGCACGAGGGGCGCTGAAATTGAAAGAAAGCGATATATGAAATGAATAATAAAACCCCACTTGTAATACGGTAATACCACCACCCCATACGTAATTCCATTTTTTAAGAAATCGTATATGTTACTTTCCATACTTGAGAAGATACGATGCAGTATGCTACTTGCTTGTTAGAGTACACTAGTTTTAAACCGCTACAACCATGTTAGACCACTCTTTTTATCATCGATTTCGACGACAAAATCTGGTTAAACTACGTGATCAGACTGGCTAATGGACAACTGATCACTCGCTGCTGAACGTCAATAGTCATAGATGATAGATGATTTTATTGTTGATGTTGGCACGATAAACGTTTGAGTGGCTAGGCCACCAATTTTTTTAGTACTAGTTTTAATGGAGGATTGTAGTTTTGTTTCAATAATTATTTATACGAAATAAACCGAATGGATTATATATAATAAAAGTTGATGTTGTTACACGTAGTTTGTTACTGCTCGTCAGCATGAGTCGATGATGGTTGATACTCATTGTTGGGCATGTGACTCGGACCTAGCCGCGCCAGAAGAACGCGTCGCGACCGAAGACATCCAGCGCGGTCCAGCGCGAAGACTTTGAGCGCAATACCTCAGCACGTCCCGGCGCGAAGATCTTGAACGCGCCACAGGCTACGCGCACGTGGAAAGGTCAAAGCGTAGACCAGACCAATGAGATGTAGAAAGCGTCATCTCAGTTCCCGAGGGGTAGTCACATCAGGGTTCTAAGCACAGTCCTAGATAAGTCTCTGACATGTCCTAGGTAGAGACATGGCCTAAATCCCTGACATGTCAGTAGTCACATCGTTGTACCCTCATGTAACTCAACCACTCACCCACCACCATGTAGCCTATAAAGATGGCATTATTCCGGTGGGTGAGGGGATCGGCTTCTTACACATTCTATCTCTACAACATTAACTTCTCTCTCTAAACAACCGATTCTCTCAATTTCATTCTCTCCAACCTCTATTCTACGTGAGATCATATTTTCCGTTGTCTACTCTGCTTGACTCACTTTCTTCCCCGAACCTACCTCCTACACTCAGTTAGGTTCAAACACTCATCATTGACGTGGACACTCATGTTGGACAATTGGTGATGAATTACAACGATCAAGTTCATATGATGATACCATTATTACAGTGATTTTACACGATCAAGTTATGATAGAGCGTCGAGGTTACTCGCTCGGAAATAGATTATCGGATTTACAAGACCACACCAAGAACCTTAAGTTTAATTTCCTAAAATATCTATATGCTCACCGTTAAATCGACATTCCTGCAGAGAAGTTCCAATAACATCCAGGAGTGACTTCCTAAGTTAGTATACGAGCTTTTCCAATCTATTGTATTTTTAAAATATCAACTATTAATCTCATTTCGGGAAGAAAAAAAATTTGATCTAGTGGTAGTGTGGTACTGTGAAAAAAGGAAAACATTCATCGCATACTGAGTTGGAATTTCATGATCCAACAACCTTTTAGAAAAATATCCATTAAATTGAATTGACGAAATCAAATAGATCAGTAGATGGTGAGTGAGGTAGAAATGGTACGAAAATCAACCTTTTAATTTTTATAAATAAAAACTTGAATCAATATACGGAAGCAATGAGCAACATAGATTTGTCAACTGATAAGTAATCAAACATTAAACTTTATTCACACGCTCAAAGCCTCAAGTTATATATTTTGGGAGCTAGCCCAGATTTTCTACTTTTGTTCAGTAGTAGGTAATCAAGTCCAGATCAGATCCTTCGAAACAAATAAGTCACGTACGTAAAGTCAAAACAAACTTAACCTATGATGATAATTTTATATTTATTGCATGGTTTAAGAAGGTGTTTGAACCTAACTGAGTGTAGGATTGAGGTTCGGGGAAGAATGTGGGTCAAGAAGAACACAAGAGGGGAAAATCGTTCAGAAAGATGAGGACCAAATAGTTGGAGTTTTAGAGAGAGAAGTTGATATTATAGAGATAGAATGTGAAAAATGCGATCCTCTCACCCACCGGAGTAAATGCCATATTTATAGGCTACATGGTGGTGGGTGAGTGGGTGGCTTACATGATGGTAGAATGACATGACCACTAACATGTCAGAGATTTAGGCCATCCCTCTACCTAGGACATGTCAGGGGTTTGCCTATGACTGTGTTTAGGACCTTGATATGACCTTCCCTCGGGAAGCGTGATGACGCCCTCTGCGGCTTTTTGGTCCGGTCAGCGCCTGGTCTCTGCACTCGCGCGCGTAGCTTTGCACTTGTTGCGCCCCAGGTCTTCGCGCTGGGGCGCCATCGGTGGTGCCGCGCCATGCTGTGTCCCGTGTGGCGCGCGGTCCGAAGTGTCTCTTTGGCGCGGGGATGGTTCGAGTCATATGCCCAACAATTGCCCCCCAACAGGGGGTGTTTCTCGAATATCTCCTGTTGAGATTTTCGCTCGGTAGACTCGGACCCATGTGTTTTGAAGTTGTTATGATCACGCAATCTTCACGGGATTCCTTACCCGTCATGCGCACTACTTTGATACGAGAGTGGGTTTCTGAGCTATTCCCTTGATTTCAGAATTCCGTGCGCGGCTATTTGTCTCCAGCGCGATCAACTTGGGTTTGCGCGATATCCGTGGATGGGATTTTTCGGATTCTCCGCGAGGTTTCCCTGGATGGCGTCTGCGCGATCTGCGCTTGGTCTTTTTTCTCCTTCACTGGCATGCTACCTGAGCTATTCCCTTGACTTCAGAATTCCGTGCGTGGCTATTTGTCTCCAGCGCGATCAACTTGGGGTTGCGCGATATCCGTGGATGGGATTTTTCGGATTCCCCGCGAGGTTTCCCTGGATGGCGTCTGCGCGATCTGCGCTTGGTCTTTTTTCTCCTTCACTGGTATGCTATGCCCCCCAGGCGTTGCGCGACACTGGTGGCGTCAACGGCTAGTGTCTATGTTTGTTATGATTGCCTGGATTTGGGGTCGGCCACGTGTCATCGTGTGAATGGGCGGTTTTGGCGGCCGTTTCGAATTTCGAAAATCTCTGACAGTTACGACTCTCGATGTCCTTTAACCTTTCGAATTCTCATCAGCAACTATAAATGGGTGCCTGTTTTCGGGGATTTGCATTTTCGACGTTTTGCTCCCATTGAGTTTTCCTTGCTCTTTCTTCCTCCTCTCCTTTGCTTCTTTTCTCCAAGATTCTTCTCCTACTTCTACAACCTCGATTCTTCTTGGAGTGCAGCGATGTCTAGCACCAACATCAATTAGACTGAGGCAGTGCAAGTCGAAGAAGGTAATCTTCATTCTTTCTCTCCTGTTTCTTCTGATCCCTCGTTGGATCTGGCCGACTCTGGCAACGGTGGCGGCGGCGACGTTGGGGACGACGAGGTAGTTGGGGACGACGGCGGGGTTCCGGCGACGTCGTCACTGGACGTCGAGTCGGAAAGGAACGTCGGAGGTTCCGAGGACGATGTGGACGAGAGCGGGGTCGCATCTGCAAGTGGGCGAGTTGGCGCGGGTGGTCGCGGAGTGCTGATCATCCAGCGAGGTGGTGAGAGGCCGAGTGTGCAACCCGAGCCTCGTTATATTGCGCGGGTCACCAAAGTGGTGGCTCGCTTGGGGTTCCGAGGTATCGGCGCGAGCTACACCATCCTGGACTGGGCGGAAATGTGGGGCGATGAACCGGCGCCGAATAGTAACTTGCTGCGCGGGCCGGATCACGCCTCGGTATACACTCGCGAGGATGTCGTGGAGATTGTGCGCGGCCTGGGACTGCCCCCTAGTTGGGAGTACGCGGTTCCGTCAAGGCGCAGCATGATTGGAAACTGCCCCCCAGGTTGGTTCGGGGTGTACACGGAGTATTGGGTGATGGGGTTTAAATTCCCCATCGACCCACTACTCTGTGCGCTTTATCAGCGCCTTAACTGTTTGATCGGGAGACTTTCTCCGTCAGTGGTGATGCACGCGAGCTGCCTCCGTCTCGCGTGCAAAAGGCTCAAGATCGCACCCACTTACGGCCTCTTTCGTCAGAAATACAAGATTAAGGAGCCCACTCGGAAGAGCGGCTGTCTGTTGATCAAGCGCCGCGACAAGAGGCCCGACGGGTTTGTTTATGGGTCGCCCAAGTTGAAGAAGACGTGGTTCGAGCGCTTCTTCTACATTAAGCCGACTCCCGGAGAGTGGGCGAGTGGGTTTGTGGATGAGCCCACAGTTTGGAAGAAGGGGGGTATAAATGGGTATGAGTCGCATTTGGGGCGTTATGACGGAATCGACGCGGAGTACGACGCGGTTATGCTGCAGAAGTTCAACTTATACTTGGACGGTGTCCGCGAGTCGATTCTGGCGGAGCTTTATGCCGATGGTTAGTAGTGTTTCTTTCTTTTTTGCATTCTATCATATTAACCGCCTTCTTACGACCTTTTGGCGCAGGTGTGGATTTCTCCAACCTGGCGAGCATGATGTCCGTTGATGACGTTGCGCGGGTGCCGCGAGGGAAGAAGAAGAAGAGAGAAGGCGCGCAACCCAAAAGCGCAAAAAGAAAGGAAGTTGAGCGGCCGACAAAGGCGGCGCGTGTTGATGACCCACCCGCACGGGCT